ACTCGCATCCATAAGAAGTAGAAGTAGAGAATATAGCTATGTGGCTAAATTTGAATGACTCCTGCTGGTTAGCCTTCTTAGATGAAGCATTGTCAATTATTATTCATTTTTCACTAGTATTTCTTTCATCTTCATTTCACTTGCTTTTTATTGCAACTCCCATCCATAAGAAGTAGAAGTAGAGAATATAGCTATATGGCTAAATTTGAATGAATCCTGCTGGTTAGCCTTCTTAGATGAAGCATTGTCAATTATTATTCATTTTTCACTAGTATTTCTTTCATCTTCATTTCTCTTGCTTTTTATTGCAACTCTCATCCATAAGAAGTAGAAGTAGAGAATATAGCTATATGGCTAAATTTGAATGACTCCTGCTGGTTAGCCTTCTTAGATGAAGCATTGTCAATTATTATTCATTTTTCACTTGTATTTATTTCATCTTCATTTCTCTTGCTTTTTATTGCAACTCCCATCCCTAAGAAGTAGAAGTAGAGAATATAGCTATATAGCTAAATTTGAATGACTTCTGCTGGTTAGCCTTCTTAGATGAAGCATTGTCAATTATTATTCATTTTTCACTAGTATTTCTTTCATCTTCATTTCACTTGCTTTTTATTGCAACTCCCATCCATAAGAAGTAGAAGTAGAGAATATAGCTATATGGCTAAATTTGAATGACTCCTGCTGGTTAGCCTTCTTAGATGAAGCATTGTCAATTATTATTCATTTTTCACTAGTATTTCTTTCATCTTCATTTCTCTTGCTTTTTATTGCAACTCCCATCCATAAGAAGTAGAAGTAGAGAATATAGCTATATGGCTAAATTTGAATGACTCCTGCTGGTTAGCCTTCTTAGATGAAGCATTGTCAATTATTATTCATTTTTCACTAGTATTTCTTTCATCTTCATTCCTCCTGCTTTTTATTGCAATTGCCATCCATAAGAAGTAGAAGTAGAGAATATAGCTATATGGCTAAATTTGAATGACTCCTGGTGGTTAGCCTTCTTAGATGAAGCATTGTCAATTATTATTCATTTTTCACTAGTATTTCTTTCATCTTCATTCCTCCTGCTTTTTATTGCAATTGCCATCCATAAGAAGTAGAAGTAGAGAATATAGCTATATGGCTAAATTTGAATGACTCCTGCTGGTTAGCCTTCTTAGATGAACCATTGTCAATTATTATTCATTTTTCACTAGTATTTCTTTCATCTTCATTTCTCTTGCTTTTTATTGCAACTTCCATAAGAAGTAGAAGTAGAGAATATAGCTATATGGCTAAATTTGAATGACTCCTGCTGGTTAGCCTTCTTAGATGAACCATTGTCAATTATTATTCATTTTTCACTAGTATTTCTTTCATCTTCATTTCTCTTGCTTTTTATTACAACGAAGCTTCTTCGTAATGTACTTCCTTGTTCCTATTTTAATCGTACGTAAGGCTTCAATGATTATAGGTATAACAGTATATATACAATCTTCATTCATTTTCAAAATTCTTATATTTTTTTGTAATATTCTTTAACTGTTATATTATTTTATGATGACACTGATGTATATATGATGAAGTATTGCATTTTTTATAGAGTTTATCGTCTTTATTTCCAATGAATGCTATGATATCTTTTATGCGCCTATCGGTATGAATGTTAAAGTTTTAAAGAATAGTTACCTCATGACTTGCTGTAATTCGTCAAGAGTAATTTTCCCATCCATTTTCGAAATTCTTTGCTACACTGTAGTACAGACATATTTACCAGCGAATATACTGTCTTCTAAACACTGTAGTTGTGAGCTGTCTACTACTAAATATACGGCCTAAACTTATGTCTGTTTTGTATTCCTCTGGTATCAGAAACTAACTGGTTAATAGTAGCCAGAAGTTGCTCACATAACGTACATATTGGATCCGCACCACTCTTTATTAGGTTTGCCTGATAATTTCAAGTAAATAAGCTTTTGTCTCGTGCTATTATTATTATTATTATTTAAAAAGAAAATACAAATTATGAACGTCCTGGGTATGACGATAAACTACTTTCGGCAGCAAGGCCCCTAATCGGGAGATTGGAGGTTTTGAGGAGCGTGGAACCACTTCTTAACTGCTGTTGTTCCTAGATCGACCCTGATTTGGAGTGGTAGCACCTGTAAGGGTCCCAGCTATCGGCAAATATTGAGCCCCCCACAAAAAAAAAACAATACGGTTTTATAATAAAATGACCAACAATACATTTTATAGCAAAATAACAATCAATGCGACACTAAAATCTAAAAATGCTTTTTTATATTAAATTTACGAACAATATATTTTATGATCTACAAAATATATATCTAAAAAGATACTAAAAGTATAACATTATGTACAAAATATTTAAATTTTGGCATTAACTAACCTATAGAGGTTGATACACAGCCAAATATAATCAACGAAACAACATTAGTCCATATAATATCCTACAATTTCTTAAATGGTATTCCAAAATATAAGTTCAACATAAAACACATATCACTGCCTCTAGTAATTATATCTACACAAACGTGTTTCTGCACAAAAGCTAAGTATCATCTACCCTGTATACATATGTGAAAGCAGAATAACATATATCATATTTTTATAGCTTCCAAACTCCCAATAAAATTAAATGACCCATAAGGAATTGTTATGCCGTTTAAAAAACAAATTATGAAGCTGAAAAGATAGAATTGACAAGGTTCAGAGAAGAGAATACAATGGTGGAAGGTTAGCTCGTCATATTATCAATAGTCTTCAGACAGTTAAGAAGATACACAAGCAAAATGTGAGAGAAAGCCGGAAATAACCTTAATCTCATATTCCTTGCTCCCAATCATTGGATCTGATCTTTTCAACTTATTTAATGTGTCAGGGGATCGGATAACGCTAATATCTTTTTTCATTTCTTTTCTTTCTTTCCTTTTTTTTATTGGCAAGTTTTAATTAAATACTATAAATGGCACAAACTTGTAATACACAGAAGGCAAATTATGTGCCTTTCTGTTTCTCTGTTTTGTTGGCTGGCATAGTGAACGCATGCAATCCGTTTTAGATTTGCGATGAAAAATGCTTCGTTCTTAATTAGATTCTCCTATCTTGATTGATTGATTTAAGCTTTATTCATTGGAAGTCGCTACAGATCCTAACACTTTTAGCTTTTTAAATGTTTCAACTTCAAAAATAGGTTTCGAGTTGAAAAAATACTTCAACTTTTCTTAATAAGATTATCTTACATTTGTTATCTTCGTAATATTATGGTGAATCTTATTATTAGACAAAGTATTGTCTATTATTAATTTGGTCTAATATTTCTTTCAATTGCTTTTTATTACGATTCGATATATTAGCAATAGGGGATAAAGCTATATGGCTAAATTTGAATGTCTCCTGGTTAGCCAATTTGATGAAGCATTGTCAATTATTATTCATTTTTCATTAGTATTTCTTTCATCTTCATTTCTCTTGTTTTTTATTGCAACTCCCATCCATAAGAAGTAGAAGTAGAGAATATAGCTATATGGCTAAATTTGAATGACTCCTGCTGGTTAGCCTTCTTAGATGAAGCATTGTCAATTATTATTCATTTTTCACTAGTATTTCTTTCATTTTCATTACTCCTCCTTTTTAAATTTGCAACTCCTATCCATAAGTAGTTGGAGTAGTGAAGATAACTATTTGGCTAAATTTCAATGACTCCTGCTAGTTAAAGTTAGCCGTCTTCGATGAAGCATTGTCAGTTATTAATTTTTTGAATCTAAATATTTTCTTCATGGTAAAAATGAAGACAAGCAAAAAGCAACAGTCAACATGTCGCTGAAAATTTTTCGCTCGCCATACTTACCAAAATATACCCCCCTCCAAAAAAAATACAACAAACGTGTTTGGAATGACATCTTAGTCGGGCAGAGAAACTTTCATCGCTTTCTTGTAGCAAGGAAGTTTTTCTTAAAGAATCTTTAATCATGACAAATACTAAGGTTTATTACGTTGAATACCGGATAGAAAAAGTGAGACAAACTTGACAGATAAAATATTAAATACATCCTACATAAAAACAAATTGGAGTCCCTACTTTCCTTATGAAATGGAAAAACGTTCCCTGACCAATTTAAGCAAAACTGAGCGTATTCTATTTTTTTTAATTTCTCGAAATTTCTTCAATGTATGTATAAAAAAAAAAATTACCACGATTTTCTATAAAAAAAAATCAAAAAATACTTTAGTTCATTTGTGAATAAGTGCTGAACATTTCATTAAAAACAGACGATTATTTGATTTTTGAATTAATGTGTTTTTATCGCTACAAAAAAACTAAATTTTCTTATTCAGTTCTCCCCTCAGCCCGCAAGAAAAACAAGATATTTAACCAAGATTGCGAACAGGTTAAAAAGGATTTAAATAAACTAAGATCATCAACAAATCCTTTGGACTTTCCTCATTTTGGCGATAAAACTTTCTTATCAACTTTAGGACTTTCTATCATCATGTTATGCTCCTGTTTAGCGAATTTCTGGAGGTACCTACTTAAGCAAATGTTTAAACATTGTGAAATGACAATGAAATAGCTACTACATTAGACAACAATCATTCATTTCACCTGACTAAAGTTCCATTAGACAACAAAAGTAAGGGACAAAATTTTAAAACCTAATATTTGTTAGAAATAACAACTGTGAAAAGCTGAAATGTTGTCCCTTACTTTTGGACGATCCTATTTTGAAAATAAATAAATAATTGTTATAATTCTTTTTTCTATCCTTTGCAAATGATTCAAATTTTAGTATGTTATTATGGATGATAACGACTACCAGTTGTCAAAATTTCAGCTTTTCACAGTTGTTATTTCTAACAAATATTAGGTTTTAAAATTTTGTCCCTTAGTTTTGGACGCTACTATATATAATGTAAGAATCTTCCATTTTCTTTTCTCACCCAGTTGATGGGAATCGAAAGAATTGGACTACAAATCTTTACGGCAACATTAATTTGAAACACCGTTTACCGTACGACCACTGAAGTTAAGCAACGTCGATCCTGCTCAGTACCTAGATGGGTGATCGCTTGAGAATACCAGATGTAAGCTTGGAAGTGCGGATGTTGTAATGGAAAAAGGTTCGGAATTATTAATCGGAGAGCCGAGTTCGAATTCCAGTTGAGTTCTTTATATTCACTTACACGTAAATACACTTGGAAAACGTATGTAGCCAACTCTTCCCCCCAGCTATGGGTTAATTAGTAAGACTTGTATTAATAAATTATTTTTATCTAAAAAAATTCTTATATAAAATATTTTCGAGCTTTAAATAACTTGCAAAGAGTTGATAAGCCGTAGAAAACAAATCAATCAATCAATATTAATCTGTTTGGGCCAATTTATTGACAAACGACAGCAACATTTTGTTCATCAATTTACCCCAAACAAGGCGATGACGCCACTAAGACGCAAAGTGTGGGGTGAAATAGAATAAAGAACAATTTTAGAAGGAACTGGTAACTCAATCCTATATAAGTAACAAAAGATAAGCCTCTACCGTTTAAAAAGACGTGAAATGATATTCGTACATTAGTAAACAAAAGATCATTAAAGAGACGAATAGGATATTTTTCTGGTCCCAGTAAAATAGAGATCAAGTTTATTTTGCCGTTAAATATAAATAGCGTTTTACAATTAAGAATAAAGTATATTTGTGATATGTCCCGGAAAGGGATATATTTGAACAAAGTAGCTAAGTGGTTTTGGCTACTATAACCAAGTAGAATACGGTAGCAGTAATCGACTGGTACACGTCGTAGTCGCAGAAGTGTAGATCAATGGCGTAGTCCAATGGGCGTCGTTATAGACTTAGCTCTCAGACTAAGGCTCTGACTCTGTCGTACCTACACGTCCGTCGGTATTTATGACGGACACCAGCCAATCATATTCCAGTGAGGGGGAACATAGGTGTACGCATATTCCATTATATCAATGAGATCGTCAGAGTAGTGGCTGTGTGTGAGCTGTGTACTGTGACTGTTCTCATCAGTGGGTGCACACGAAGTTTATTGGCAAGAGAACCATACCCAAGGATTTGTAGAGATTGTTATACCTGAAGTGATTAAAATATTCAAAGACTTCTGTATTTTTTTAATAATTGATGATGAATAAATGATTTTAAGTTGTGTTTCAACAATTGATGGTGAAAAAGATTTTAAATTGTCTTAATTGATGGTGAAAATAAATTTCTGTGTTAAATCTGTGTGTTGTTATTTTTAACATTTACCGAATAGATTCGAATAAAAAGGGATATGAACTGTAAATATATAGCTAAGCTATGACCAAGTATTTATTTGTCAAGAACAACTCGTGTCTATCTTTTGAGTATGACTATGTGGAATGTGGATTTTTTTATTGTTTTACAATTTTATTCAATTTTATAGAATAATAGTCTTCTACCCATCCCTTGATAGGATGAGGTTGAAATAATAGACAGAGAACATCATTGGGAGATACGAAAACTTAAGGAATAAGCGCATATACGGGGCCACAAAAATCTCTTAAGCCGGCCAAGCATAGAAATGAATACAATAGAGGAAACAGTAATATGGAGTGATAGAGAAAAATAATAATAATTATAATACGAGTTCTGGTAATAAAAAAAAATTGGCTACCGAGACATTAGGTTTAGAAGGCTAAAAATTTCATACACTGACGTCCTCCAGGACGCATGGCCCAGTGGATAAATCATTTACTGAATCCAGTGGCTTGCTTTGAATTGAGTTCAGAAAAGGTGAACACAAATTTTGATAGTTAAAAGAGAGATAACTGATACTGAAATATCAGGAAGAGGCATGACACGTGGAACTAGAACACTCTACCCTGGTCCGAAATTCCAATCAACTGAAGAAGGCCGGAGTGTATAACAGTCGAGCACAATAATGTAAATAATAGTCCACCAAGATGGAAAACTAAAATTGATCAATTTGGTGATACCATTCCAGCCAATTCAGAATATAATTTTTTTACGATTGTGTAGAACACACCCTTTGAAAATTGGTGCGTTTGCTTGGGAATTTAACATCCACAGCAGTCGTTATTTGCGAGGATTTAAATACCTGCCGCAAAATATATTCTTACCGACTTTTTTGATCAGCATACTGATATGACGAGAGGTTGTAAATGCGAAGTTTTCTTCTAGTATGTCCATAAATATATTGCGGCTCAGTTGTAAATCAACGTAGGTGACCATTTTGTCAACCAAATATGCCAACTCCTAAACAGCTGTTGTATTATGACTATAGTGTAGTCCGTTGCTAATGACAACGGATTCAGTCGTTGCTGGTGGGAACGCCGACAGCAAGCAACGAGTGTCGTTCAATTGAAGCGTGTGGGTTGTGTAATGTCTGCAAAGACAGGAAAGAAAAATCGATAAGTCATCGAATGATGTCGGTGGACTACTGTGATTGGCGATGCAAAGAGGTTTGTGGATGTTAAATGGAAAAGAAATTAACGAGCTTGCATCACGATCCGAGTGAAAAAGAAAAAGACGTTGACAAAGAGAAAAAGTGTCAGTGAAGCGACAATTTCATAAAAAATAAAAATAAAAATACAAAGAAAGTAAAGAGATAAGGAATGAAACGTTAAAATAAAAAAAAAAGACTGGAAAGCCTAAATTGTGTATGATATAAAAAGAGTAGTGTTCAATGTGTTTGGTAAGTAAATCAATAACGAAAAACAGAAAATGTACAAAGAAAAGCAATAGAAAGGGATATGTCCATTAGAAAAACGGAAAGATGTAGAAGATATAAGAAAAAGAAGGCGACTATATAAAAGAAAAGGGAGTAGGAAAGAGAAAGAAAGGCGTCTGGAAGGCGAGAGAGAGAAAGAAAGGCGTGGGGTGGGGAGAGACAGATAGAGAAATGGAAGAGAGGAGAGATAGAAAGACGCATGGAAGAGAGGAGAGAGAGAAAGAAAGAAAGGCGTCTGGAAAGAAAGAAAGAAAAGAAAGAAAGAAAGAAAGAAAGAAAGAAAGAAAGAAAGAAAGGCGTCTGGAAGAGAGAAAGAAAAAAGAAAGAGTCTGGAAGAGAGGGAGAGAGAGAAAAAAGAAAGGCGTCTGGAAGAGAGGGAGAGAGAGAAGAAAAAGGAAAGAAAGAAAGAAAGGCGTCTGGAAGAGAGGGAGAGAGAAAGAAAGGCGTCTGGAAGAGAGGGAAAGAGAGAGAAAAAAAGGCGTCTGGAAGAGAGGGAGAGAGAGAGAATGGCGTCTGGAAGAGAGGGAGAGAGAAAGAAAGGCGTCTGGAAGAGAGGGAGAGAGAGAAAGGCGTCTGAAAGAGAGTGGGAGAGAGAGAAAAAGAAAGGCGTCTGGAAGAGAGAGAGAGAGAGAAAGAAAGGCGTCTGAAAGAAAGAAAAAAGAAAGAAAGAAAGAAAGAAAGAAAGAAAGAAAGAAAGAAAGAAAGGCGTCTGGAAGAGATGGAGAGAGAGAGAGAAAGAAAGGCGTCTGAAAGAGAGAGAGAGAAAGAAAGGCGCCTGAAAGAGAGAGAGAGAAAGAAAGGCGTCTGAAAGAGAGAGAGAGAAAGAAAGGCGTCTGAAAGAGAGAGAGAAAAAAGGCGTCTGAACAGAGAGAGAGAGAAAGAAAGAAAGCGTCTGGAAGAGAGGGAGAAAGAAAGAAAGAAAGAAAGAAAGAAAGGCGTGTCTGAAAGAAAGAAAGAAAGAAAGAAAGAAAGAAAGAAAGAAAGAAAGAAAGAAAGAAAGGCGTCTGGAAGAGATGGTGAGAGAGAGAAAGAAAGGCGTCTGGAAGAGAAAGAGAGAAAGGCGTCTGGAAGAGAGGGAGAGAGAGAGAAAGAAAGGCGTCTGAAAGAGAGAGAGAGAAAGAAAGGCGTCTGAAAGAGAGGGAGAGAGGGAGAAAGAAAGACGTCTGAAAGAGAGGGAGAGAGGGAGAAAGAAAGGCGTCTGGAAGAGAGAGAGAGAAAGAAAGGTGTCTGGAAAAGAGGGAGAGAGAGAGAAAGATTGACGTCTGGAAGAGAGGGAGAGTAATGGAGTAGCGGCTCGGACTGAGGAATCGAAGTTCGAATTCCAGTCGAATCTATTATATTTACTTACGTGCTAATACCCTTGGGAAAGGTATGAATCCTCTTCTCCAACCAGCTATGGGTAAATAGACCGGGTTCTATAGCATTGGATAGCAACTGGTCTACCGCAGAAAGAAATGGCAACCTACTATCGGAAAAATATCTGCCTCGTCAGTCATGTATCGAAAGATACATGATCGCCTAAATGTGTATCCCGCATGGCACATAACTGACTGATTGTAGAGGAAGGGAAAAATGCGTATGAAAGATAGAGAAAATTCTTGAGAATGTGTAAGAAGAGAGAAGCTTGTTTTATTGAAAGAAACAAATATATTTCTAGGAAAGGAAGATAGAGAAGACGGTAGGGAAGAGAAATCGATAGAAAGTGCGTGTCAAACAGAGACAGGAAGATGTGTGTGATATAAAGTGGACATGAGATATGTACGTATGCGTGTGTGTAATAATGACGTAGAAATGTGTAAAGATGATAAGTTATAGAAACGGCTATGCTATCAGAAAAAAATAGAAAGTTCTTTGGAACAGACTGCGAATTAATCTGTGTGTGATGAAAAACGGCAAATTGGTATCGTATGCTAGAGAAAGAGAAAATTTGATGAAAACTGAATCCGGACAGCGAAGTTGAAATCAGAACAGCCACTATTCGAATGACAAAAAAGACATAGATGCTTCAGGAAACTAAATACAGAAAAATAAAAACGAATAAGAAAAAAATGTAGACGAATTTTGAGTGAAAATATGGAAAGAAAAAGCCGTTTTTTTTTCAATGACAAGAGAATAACGTTTCAAAGAGGCAGACGATAAATAGGATGATTTGGGGAGAAAAGAGCAAATAGCAAAGAAAATGAAATTATAGATAATTATTGAAAGATTACAGAAACGAAAAGAAATAAATGGTATATACATTTATATGTTTAGACTATTAAGACAACAATCTTTCATTTATACATGTTCTATTAAACAGAATAGACAGAAAATGTCTTGAAATACTGTCTGTTCCCTTTTAATAACTGTTTGAATCGTTGAAGCCTGCGTTCTTACAGATATCCGTATGTGTATGCATATGTGAGTAAATGGTTGAATACATTTTTACATACACACACATATACAAAAGCAACCTGGCATTTATGTGTGCGCGTGTGTGTAAATATATAATCATTTATTTGTTCGTTTTATACGTAGCGCACCAGAATGCTTCCTCTGTGATGTCTATTCTGGGGTCATAGGAAGTTTTGGACCTCCATGGCATCAGATTTTCTCTTCCATGAGTTCAGCCGAAAGAGATCATTTCTCGACTAGAATTCTGGCATAGCTTTCGCATGATTGCAAGAACTGTAACATTATTTGTGCCTACTCAAATGAGATACTTTTATTCAATTCTCACCAATCGGGATTTGTTTACTTTGATTATTGGCGTTCTGGCCAAATAGACGGGTGGATATCCTTTTGCCTTTAACCGTTATTCGAAGTACTCATTCAAAATGGTTGTTAGCGTTTTTATATGTACACGTACGGCAAAATGTCCGTGTACAGATATATTGAACTACACTCACAAAAAGTTTTGTATACACAAATAGGTAAATTTATAAACACATACACAGACACATTTTTTAGAAATGCGTATATTTATATATAAAAAAAAAGATGGGTACTTTTAGCGTTTTCATTCAACAGCCGACAAGAAAGACGCAAATAGAAGTTGAAATATATTTTCAAAATGAAATTACAAGCTGAGCGATTAAACAGGGATTAGGGTTTATTCAGAGAGTATCATTTTCACAGGTAAGCCCGCTAACCGACAACAGCAACATTTTTTGGAAGAGTGAGTCCCACTTCTTTCTTTATTCCTCATCTCGTTGAAAAATGACACAGGCGTGTCCAAAAATTCCGACTTTATGATCTTTCTCTTTGTGCTTCCATTTAGTGAAAAAGCTAATATATAATAATTATCAATCTTAATGTCAATATTGTTATCATTTTGTTGTCTTTTTGTTCCTCAAATTTCAATAACAGGCCTATTAAAACAGACGCACATTATATATATATATATATATATATATATATATATATATATAGAGAGAGAGAGAGAGAGAGGGAGAGAGAGTCTGGGAGGAAACTCACTATTGAAAATTATTTATAACTTTTGTTAATATCACTATATTTGCATGAAACAAAATATACTATGACACCTAAAGTGTTAGAATTTCAGTTCTTATTTCTGAGTGACAAGTGTAGCCCAGGATGTCACAACCTCTGACAGAGCATGAGGGTACTCTGCTAGCATCCCGTTAGGACGTGTGGCAGTCCATGGTACAAGATGGGTGGTGAAGTGTTCATGGACGCCCGTGATTCGGTAGATTTCAAAACTATTAAAAATTGTCGTTCCATTTCTGTTGAGTACGGGATCCATAGTAGATTCCCACAGAAAAGATCGTTCTTCAATATCCACATTGGAAGAAAATGTTCAAAAAGTAGAATTTTAGCAATGTTCTCTACATCTACCATGATATTTTTTTTTAGAACGAAACCTGTTATTTTAAATATATATAAAGAAATAAAGATAGAAAGATTCATTTATCCAACTACTGGTTTCGTCCAGTTTAGGTAAGTGTATTTGTTTGAGCTTATAAAGCGAAGAATCTACGAAACTTGAAATCGTAGAGATAACTATTTTCTTTTACTTATTTATTATTAGGTTGGTGCAAAAATAATGACGTAAGAATGTCGTTTTTTGACGTTAAAAAATACGTCAAAAAACGACATTATTACGTCATTATTTTTGCACCAACCTAATAACTATTATTACTGTAATATTTTTAATAGTGAACACTTTGTTACATCTGCTTGCTTTTAAACGCGTTAAACTCCAGCAATTTGATAGACTACATGTGTTGTTAGGTGTTATCTACCTCTCTAATATGACACACACACACACACACATCTATATATATGGGTATTTACCCATATATACAGATATGTGTGTGTGTTATATTAGAGAGATAGATAGGCTGTTTTTCTGATGCACATCGATCGCTTACTACCCTTTCTTGTTCATTCTCTACCAACCAATTAAACAAACTCATTCACAATGTTACACGTTGATTTCTCATGCCTCTTTTGTCTTCAATATGCCCTGTCAGGTTTTGCTTCTCCAAGCCCTCTTTGCTCCGTACGTGTGCCAGTAATTTCAACTGGTTTTGTTTCTATGAAAAACTTCCTTGTTGTTCATATGTTCCATTCGTGATATTTTCAGCATCCTTTTGTAGAGCCACATCTGTTGTCTAAAGTCTTCTCTTCGTCTTTCAGGAAATTGTTCACTGACATATAAAAGGAATAATATTATATAACAGTTAAGCAACTATTACCTTCGTTTTCAACGAAAAATTTCTGTTTCTTAATGTGCAAAGTAATGGAAAGGACCTTTCGCTAATTCAATGTGCCTTTGAAGAGAAAAAGAAAAAAAAGTTTTATTCTCCCATTTTAATTCCCCCGTTATGGGCATTATTATATCCGTGATATAATGACATCGACATTTCATGGACGGGACCCAATGGGTGAAAGGAAAAAGAGTGACAAACCCGCTTTGTTGTCAAAGAGATGTTTATACTATTAAGATATACACAAACACACACACACACACATATATATATATATATATATATATATATATATATGGTGGACTCGCCTACCATCAACAATAAATGAAGGTCAGTATCGGATAGTGCTTTTTGTTTTACACTTATGCATGCTAGCAGGGGCTATTGCGGAGAAAATCAAGCAAGGGAGAGACATATTTAATTTGTGCTTTCTTAAGTATATATATATATATATATATATATATATACGTCCATATCTACACAGCAAAGCAGTTTGTAAGAAGACTCTAAAAGGAAGGTTCTTACATATAATATAGAGATACTCCTAACCTGGAAAAGCCATTTTTAGGACCCCGGATTCAAATGGGCCGGAGTCATCTACTATGTCCCAAGCGACGACATATTCCACGAACGGGAAACAATCAGTCTTAATTTTTCCCAAATTGAGGACTGCAAGCTGGAGTTTCTTTCTGTATCTGAGGAAGATATATATCCCAAAGGAAAACGGCACCATGGATTTGTAAGGATTCTGGGGAGGCAGATTTAGCCTCTGCACGGGCCATAGGGGTTTGGGTTAAAAAAAGCAACCTTTAGGTTTAGCTGCTGTAAACAAAGAGAAATTTGACTGCTGCTTTCGTCACATATGAATTGAGGTCATTATGGGGCTGTTAAATGACCCATGTGGCTTATCACCACCAAAAGGAGATAATCGCCTTCTGTATCCCTATAGGAATAAATTAATTTTCACATTTATATGGAATTTAAAGTTTTCAATTCAAAAATAGGTTTTGAACATTTTGCATTGTGTCGGTCCGCTACTAACATGGAAAGTGCTCAGACGAACTACATCTCCTGGTTGCACCAGATCTGACCTTTACGACCTGTACCCATCAAACCCACTTATATAATAGTAAACCACCCACATTCCCTCCATATTCTATTGGCAAGAAGTAAGTTCCTTTCAGCTTCTTCCTGTGGAACAGACCCCAAAAAGGACGTTTCCTCGATCACTACAATCTTAACCTGTTCAAATCTAGAGTCAACCGTTATCTTCCTCTCCTATCTATATAAACTACCCTTTAACGTAACCCTCTGCCTCGAGTGGCCCCCTGGCTTTGTACAGGGCGAATCTTACTATAAAAAAATGGGTATCGATCATGTTTATTTTCCCTAAAATAGCTACGTCTGTTAAGATTTGGATCTCCATTGGCTGATGTGTCACGACAAACGATCAACTAAATACTTGAAATACAAACAAGGTATTTCTAGAATTTAAATTTGCAGCTCTTAATTGACCAAAAGCGTCGACTGATAACCAGCATTAGGCATCAATTTACGTAAATAATTAAATTTCCTTGGAATCAGTGCGCTAAGTAGGAAGAAAAGAAAGAAAAATAATAAGATATATAATTCCGAACGAATCTGGGAATTAAAATTTTGTTTTTAAAAAAATTCCTTAATGATCGACTTGTTTCTTTCTTTTCCGTATTTATACAGCGGAGAAAACGGGGAAACATTTAAACAAAGAAACAAACAAACAAATAGAACCTAAAAAAAAGTCGGAAACTAACAAGCAATTTTATTTTTGGTTAGCGACTATCGGTGACTCTTCACCTAGAGTCGTGGAGAAAATCTACCGGTGAATGAAATGAAAAACCTACTCATAGCAGCTAAAAACCAAAAGCGAAAATGAAATTAGAAATTAGTGAGGAAGCTTTGATGAAGAAAAGAGAAGGAAAACTAACGCGGAATTGGAAAGTGGATAAAGAAAAATGCCAAAAAGATGAAGAAACAAGCGATGCAAAGATGTTTAAAACAGGATTTGTGCGTCAAAGCGGGAAAATAAACATTTTAAAAGTTTCAACGGAAGAAATGAAGGTAGCGGTAGCGCTTATCGGTAGCGAAAGTAACGTGATTGTATGTTGCATAGGTTTTTCATTTCATTCACCGGTAGATTTTCTCTATGACTCTATGTGAAGAGTCACCGATAGTCGCTAACCAAAAATAAGCAACCCTAACCCTCTCAGGCTCTGATAATAAATATAAATCATCATCATCTTGCGGCCA